TGTAGACCCAGGACTGAGGCTGTGGACCCAGGACTGAGGCTGTAGACCCAGGACTGAGGCTGTGGACCCAGGACTGAGGCTGTAGATCCAGGACTGAGGCTGTAGACCCAGGACTGAGGCTGTAGACCCAGGACTAAGGCTGTGGACCAGGACTGAGGCTGTAGACCCAGGACTGAGGCTGTGGACCAGGACTGAGGCTGTGGACCAGGACTGAGGCTGTAGACCCAGGACTGAGGCTGTAGACCCAGGACTGAGGCTGTGGACCAGGACTGAGGCTGTGGACCAGGACTGAGGCTGTAGACCCAGGACTGAGGCTGTGGACCAGGACTGAGGCTGTAGACCCAGGACTGAGGCTGTGGACCAGGACTGAGGCTGTGGACCAGGACTGAGGCTGTAGACCCAGGACTGAGGCTGTAGACCCAGGACTGAGGCTGTGGACCAGGACTGAGGCTGTAGACCCAGGACTGAGGCTGTAGACCAGGACTGAGGCTGTGGACCCAGGACTGAGGCTGTGGACCAGGACTGAGGCTGTAGACCCAGGACTGAGGCTGTGGACCCAGGACTGAGGCTGTGGACCCTAACCCTAACCCCGACCTGGGACCAATTGCTGGTGTTGTGTGATGCTGTGTGTTGTTGTGTGTTGTTGTATTGTTGTTGTGTGTTGTTGTGTTGTTGTGTTGTTGTACTGTTGTTGTGTGTTGTTGTGTTGATGTTGTGTGTTGTTGTGCTGATGTTGTATTGTTGTTGTGTTGATGTTGTGTGTTGTTGTGCTGATGTTGTGTGTTGTTGTGTTGATGTTGTGTGTTGTTGTGTTGATGTTGTGTGTTGATGTGTGTGTTGTTGTGCTGATGTTGTGTGTTGTTGTGCTGATGTTGTATTGTTGTTGTGCTGATGTTGTGTGTTGTTGTGTTGATGTTGTGTGATGTTGTGTTGATGTTGTGTGTTGTTGTGCTGATATTGTGTGTTGTTGTGTTGATGTTGTGTGTTGTTGTGCTGATGTTGTGTGTTGTTGTGCTGATGTTGTATTGTTGTTGTGCTGATGTTGTGTGTTGTTGTGTTGATGTTGTGCTGATGTTGTATTGTTGTTGTGCTGATGTTGTGTGTTGTTGTGCTCATGTTGTGTGTTGTTGTGCTGATGTTGTATTGTTGTTGTGTGTTGTTGTGTTGATGTTGTGTGTTGTTGTATTGTTGTTGTGTGTTGTTGTGCTGACGTTGTGTGTTGTTGTATTGTTGTTGTGTGTTGATGTGTTGTTGTATTGTTGTTGTGTGTTGTTGTATTGTTGTTGTGTGTTGTTGTGTTGATGTTGTGTGTTGTTGTATTGTTGTTGTGTGTTGTTTTGTTGATGTTGTGTGTTGTTGTGCTGATGTTGTGTGTTGTTGTATTGTTGTTGTGTGTTGTTGTGTTGATGTTGTGTGTTGTTGTGTTGATGTTGTGTGTTGTTGTGCTGATGTTGTGTGTTGTTGTGTTGATGTTGTGTGTTGTTGTATTGTTGTTGTGTGTTGTTGTGTTGATGTGTTGTTGTATTGTTGTTGTGTGTTGTTGTATTGTTGTTGTGTGTTGTTGTGCTGATGTTGTGTGTTGTTGTGTTGATGTTGTGTGTTGTTGTATTGTTGTTGTGTGTTGTTGTGTTGATGTGTTGTTGTATTGTTGTTGTGTGTTGTTGTGTGTTGTTGTATTGTTGTTGTGTGTTCATGTGTTGTTGTATTGTTGTGTTGATGTTGTGTGTTGTTGTATTGTTGTTGTGTGTTGTTGTGTTGTGTGTTGTTGTGCTGATGTTTTTTGTTGTTGTATTGTTGTTGTGTGTTGTTGTGTTGATGTTGTGTGTTGTTGTGTTGATGTTGTGTGTTGTTGTGCTGATGTTGTGTGTTGTTGTGTTAATGTTGTTTGTTGTTGTGTGTTGTTGTATTGTTGTTGTGTGTTGTTGTGTTGATGTTGTGTGTTGTTGTGTTGATGTTGTTTGTTGTTGTGTGTTGTTGTGCTGATGTTCTGTGTTGTTGTGTGTTGTTGTATTGTTGTTGTGTGTTGATGTGTTGTTGTATTGTTGTTGTGTGTTGTTGTGCTGATGTTGTGTGTTGTTGTGTGTTGTTGTATTGTTGTTGTGTGTTGTTGTGCTGATGTTGTGTGTTGTTGTTGTGTGTTGTTTTGCTGATGTTGTGTGTTGTTGTGTTGATGTTGTGTGTTGTTGTGTTGTGTGTTGTTGTGTTGATGTGTTGTATTGTTGTTGTGTGTTGTTGTGTTGATGTTGTGTGTTGTTGTGTTGATGTTGTTTGTTGTTGTGTGTTGTTGTGCTGATGTTCTGTGTTGTTGTGTGTTGTTGTATTGTTGTTGTGTGTTGATGTGTTGTTGTATTGTTGTTGTGTGTTGTTGTATTGTTGTTGTGTGTTGTTGTGTTGATGTTGTGTGTTGTTGTATTGTTGTTGTGTGTTGTTGTGTTGATGTTGTGTGTTGTTGTGCTGATGTTGTGTGTTGTTGTATTGTTGTTGTGTGTTGTTGTGTTGATGTTGTGTGTTGTTGTGTTGATGTTGTGTGTTGTTTTGCTGATGTTGTGTGTTGTTGTGTTGATGTTGTGCTGATGTTGTGTGTTGTTGTGCTGATGTTGTGTGTTGTTGTGCTGATGTTGTGTGTTGTTGTGTTGATGTTGTGTGATGTTGTGTTGATGTTGTGTGTTGTTGTGCTGATGTTGTGCTGATGTTGTGTGTTGTTGTGCTGATGCTGTGTGTTGTTGTGCTGATGTTGTGTGTTGTTGTGCTGATGTTGTGTGTTGTTGTGCTGATGTTGTGTGTTGTTGTGCTGATGTTGTGTGATGTTGTGCTGATGTTGTGTGTTGTTGTGCTGATGTTGTGTTGATGTGTGTTGTGTGTGTTGTGTGTTGTTGTGTGTTGTTGTGCTGATGTTGTGTGTTGTTGTGCTGATGTTGTGTGTTGTTGTGCTGATGTTGTGTGTTGTTGTGCTGATGTTGTGTGATGTTGTGCTGATGTTGTGCTGATGTTGTGTGTTGTTGTGCTGATGTTGTGTGTTGTTGTGCTGATGTTGTGTGTTGTTGTGCTGATGTTGTGTGTTGTTGTGCTGATGTTGTGTGTTGTTGTGCTGATGTTGTGTGATGTTGTGCTGATGTTGTGTGTTGTTGTGCTGATGTTGTGTTGATGTTGTGCTGATGTTGTGTGTTGTTGTGCTGATGTTGTGTGTTGTTGTGCTGATGTTGTGTGTTGTTGTGCTGATGTTGTGTGTTGTTGTGCTGATGTTGTGTGATGTTGTGCTGATGTTGTGCTGATGTTGTGTGTTGTTGTGCTGATGTTGTGTGTTGTTGTGCTGATGTTGTGTGTTGTTGTGCTGATGTTGTGTGTTGTTGTGCTGATGTTGTGTGTTGTTGTGCTGATGTTGTGTGATGTTGTGCTGATGTTGTGTGTTGTTGTGCTGATGTTGTGTTGATGTTGTGCTGATGTTGTGTGTTGTTGTGCTGATGTTGTGTGTTGTTGTGCTGATGTTGTGTGTTGTTGTGCTGATGTTGTGTGTTGTTGTGTTGATGTTGTGCTGATGTTGTGTGTTGTTGTGTTGATGTTGTGCTGATGTTGTGTGTTGTTGTGCTGATGTTGTGTGTTGTTGTGCTGATGTTGTGTGTTGTTGTGCTGATGTTGTGTGATGTTGTGCTGATGTTGTGTGTTGTTGTGCTGATGTTGTGTGTTGTTGTGCTGATGTTGTGTGTTGTTGTGCTGATGTTGTGTGTTGTTGTGCTGATGTTGTGTGTTGTTGTGCTGATGTTGTGTGTTGTTGTGCTGATGTTGTGTGTTGTTGTGCTGATGTTGTGTGTTGTTGTGTTGATGTTGTGTGTTGTTGTATTGTTGTTGTGTGTTGTTGTGTTGATGTTGTGTGTTGTTGTG